TTAAAACGTAAAAGCTCTCCACCTCTTTAAACAAAACAAAATTCAGCTGTAACTGTAACCGTTTTCAAACACTTGCAAAGGATTTTACCGAAATAATTTATCCGTTTGTAAAGCTGTATTGACGGCTACATGTGAAAAGATCAATGGAGATCATTTCCCGGTATAGCACCAAATTCATATACATACACGGCAACTCTCGCTGTCGCGCACTCCCAATCACTTTTCTGCATTGCTTTATGATTTTTGAAGCCAAAAAATTCGTATACATATGTAAGGAGGAGTGGCCTCTCCGCACAGGCGGCTGCTAGGTTGTTTTGATGTTTTTGCCGTGTTTTTCTCCATCTACCAGATTCTAAATCTGGTAGATTCTTCAGTTGCTAGATTTCGTCGTCTGAGCTGGATGCTTTTTCCTTTTTGCCCCGCAGCAAGGTGCTGCGGTGGCCTTTGATGTGTTGTATGAGAGAGCGATAAAGTGTGCAGTGTGTTGGCGTTCAGTTTCCGTTTCTGTTCGCGCACAGGGGTGAACTAGCCGTTCATCCCCTGTTAGATGGTAGCAGATCTCGGAAGAACCATGTGCACCCTTTCGAGCCCCAAGTGCGACGTCTGACGCCCCAGTGAAAGTTCACTTTGCCGAAGTGGCAGCCCGGATACGACGATGGATGGGAGGAATGACCCCCGCCGGAGGCCGGAGGAATATCACACCGTGAAGCGCGGTGATGGAGAGGGTGAAGAAGGACGTGAAGGATGATGTCAGCAGCAGCCAGCGACGACAAGGCCAACTCCAGTCCGTAGCAGCTCAAGGACTGCCATTCACCGAAGCCCACGTGAACCCTGCCATCGCAGAAGTACCAGTGAGCTGCCCCACAGGGTCACTAGTGTCTGAATGCCCCAAACCCCTGCCCGTTTTACCTGGAATGACGAACTTTCCCGGACGGATGCAGAGGAATTTTCCCACCGAAGAATCGTATTCTGGTGTTTGCAGGGTCACCAGCGTTCCAATGCCACAAACCCCTTCCCGATTTTCGTCAAAACATGACCTTTCCGTACAGCAGAAGCAATGGAATTCACCCAGTTCCGTGTTGGACGCCATCTTTCGTCGCAGCAAGTGCAGTGACCCAGACAAGGCAAAGCAGGTCAAAGTGGACCAGAGTCGAGCCGAACCAGTCTCCCTCGTACTTACTTAAATCTTAAAGTACATAGTACCACTGGTGGATGGTATACGTACCAGACCTGGGCAGTTATAGAAAACTGACCCACCGCTAGAGTTACAGGGAGCGTGCGGGAGATACAGGGAGCGAGTTACAGGGAGCGTGCGGGTTACGCTAAGAGTTAAGTTATTCATGCAGGAAAACCGAGTTTCGAGTTATGTGCACCGCGAGTTACGCCACCATAGACAATATATACTTAGTGTTTTTATGAAAGTTAAGCTAGAGTTAACTCTTTAGCGTAACTTCTGAGCGAATTACGCTAAAGAGTTAAGTTATAACTCGAAAATAACTCGCGTTAAGTTAAATAGTTAAAATTAACTGCCCAAGTCTGATACGTACTTACTAACTTAAAGTACTATGTACTTTAAGTTAGTACGAGGGAGACTATAAGCAATCACAATGCAAAGCAATAGTGGTGATGATACTGTCAGGATGACATGGGTCTACAGGAACAGCCTCTGAAATTTTTACAAAAAAATTAATATGTAGTAAAACAATAACATGGGAGCAACCACCTCTTACAATCAGTACAGCATGTCGCTACACAGTAATTATACAACAACCAAGGCTAACCTTCGTACCGTGACAGCCCAAGTGGTCGCGGGACATTTCGTCGCGGGACATTTCGCCATACGTTTTTTTCGTCGCAGCGGCTAATTTATTGTGGGACAACTCGTTCTGCAGCCGTTTTAATGTGTTGCTACTCGTAAATCTTTTACCGTGGCTGAAGAGCAAAGGGGGCATGTGGAAGTTCTGGGTTGGGAATCGGTGAAGCTCCGGCTGCGCCCCTGGTGTGTGCGCGCTTGCCGGTTTCCTTTCCCTGCACCTCAAACCCCCTTTATTTGGCTTAGACAAATAACAAAATCCACTAACAAGTCGGATGTGGCGGATGGTAAAGAAAAGTTTGCAACTGCACGCTAGCTTGGCAAAACAGAAATGATTTGCAGTACAAGCAGCGGTGAACTCTAAGTCTCTAACAACGATCGGTGCCATGCTGGCGCTAGGAAAACAGGATGTGGGGGTAAAACGGAAAACAGAGCAGATAGCACAACACTCGTACGCCACATTGATAAAACTTAAAACGTTTTTCGTCGCAGCGGCTAATTTATTGTGGGACAACTCGTTTTGCAGTCGTTTTGTTGTGTGACATCCTTTTGGGGAGTCGAAAACTTATCAACTGTTTTATGACACCAGTCATATGATTATTTGCCACAAAACGAGTTGTACTTAGACAGAATGTCCATTAAACTAAATGTTCGGCGTCGACATTTCGCGGAGCCCTCCGTACACGCATCCACTATACACTGTTATAGCACATGCTTGCGGTATTCGCTGGTGTTGCCAAGCGATTCATATAATTTCGTAATTAATGGCATTTCACAGAGCTCCATGTACGATGCGTACGAGGACAGGAGGACGTCTTAAACTGGCCGACCGACAGTAACAGGCGGCAATTAGCACTTAGCAGTAAGGCAATCGCGGAAAAGATATCGTTCCGGCTAGCTTTGTGTCGTTCGGTAGATCAGAGCTCTCACCGCATATGCATACTTGCCATACGTGCCTACGGGGAAAATAGTGGCTCTATTCAGTTTTGATTAGTTTGCGGTGATTAGTTAATGTGTTCAGTCCCCTGCATAGGGACTAATGCGTACACAAATCAGTTGCCTTTCGAATGTGTTCTTTCCCAAAAAAATAAGAGGAAATCGCCGAATCTCGACTAATCGTTTTACTTAATATTGGGTTCGCTAGCATAAATACAACATTATCATACAGTATATGATTAATTGCTCCTGAACTGGATTAGATGGAAGGCATGCAGCCAGATGGCGCAACACTGCATCCACCGACGGAAGGAAGGCATTTATCGATAGAAGTAGGGGTGTTACTGTAGCTAACAGTGGACATACAGACGCTTGCGCCTTCTTATATTGGCCTAACGTTGGATCTGCGTAATGCTGAGTTACCTTTGGCATACCTGCCGTCTAGGTACCCATCGAGAACAGCATTTCTGGAGAAAACCATAAAGTACAGTACAGTAATGCACCTAATTTGAAGTTTTACAGTAAATTTTTCTTTAAGGCAAGACAATTATGGAGGAGGTAATCTGACGGCAGTGGAGAGCTAACTCGATTTCACCCACAGTTAAAGTGGGATGCATTCGATATGTAATTCCTTGTAGTGTAAACAGAAGAACCAAGCCGTGGAAGCGACGGGTCTTAAATTTCGCGGTAGTGTTATAAATCCTGATGTTCCGCTAACTGATAACTGATACGCGGTATTCGTTGTCGTTTCTGCTTAAAACGCGAAAGTGTTGACTTCGGAAACTGCAAAAAGGGTTGGCGATGCGGAGCGCCATCCAATGCCCTCCGGTTCCGTGCACGCGCCGCTTCGCTTCCGGGTGCCTGGACCGCTCTTGAATAATCTGAAATTGGTTCAGCTTACAATTGTCCGCTTGGATGAACCATCTTCGTTTCTCGCGTTCTAAGGTCGTTGTACACAATTTAAAAACTTTGCGTAAGCATTATACTTCGGGGCCCGGACTATTTTTGCGCAAAATGTTGCTTTTTTTAGCAACAATTTAGCAATCATTCAACTGAAATTCAGGGAAGTTTTGTTAAAGTCAACCACTTCATCAACGTCATGCACGTCTACAGCTTTTTACCTTTATGAATGGTGGTGGATTTCATTCAAAAAGTTTGGCAGAATTTGAAAATTTTTGGTGTTTGTATGATAAAGTAAAATGTTTTGAGATTAAATGGTCGCACAGAAACCCTACCCAGCATTCCGCTCGCACGCACCGTGTTCAAAACAAAATGAAAAAATTAAAAGAAATGGGAAAATTAAGGCAGGGATTTTTTGCGATCAATATGAGAAAAAAAAGTTTTGTTGTTCCAAAGAGACAGATTTGTGTTAAAAAAATCTGTGAAAAATCCGGATTGCTAACAGATGGTTTGCAAATTCAAAGTGATTGTTGGACAGTACGGACTGCTCCTCAGAAAAAATGTTAAGCGTAGTCACTGCTGTGAGTAACTAGTCACTAACTATTACGAAAATAGTTTATTCGGTATTAGATTGCCGTAAACTACAACAAGTACGTTAAGCTTCTCGTCGCAGGTCAACTTCGTTATTTTACTAATTTTCGACATATCAGTTTCCCGTTGTCAATTTCCGCTTCGCTTGAGTTTTGTCAAGATTTTTTATGCATTAGCTGCTTATCGAAATATTTGATAAATTCGTAGTACAATGTAATAAATACATAATTTATTGTTGGCCAAAACTCCTCTGCCACCCCTTAAACTCATGCAAATCCGAAGCTGTTTCTTGTGTATAAATACCTTATACAGCTTAGGACAAAATGGTCGCATACCCAACATCTCCACATTCAGTACGAATGCAGTGCAGTACACTGCACGGCTAAGTTCAAAATATCCGGTTCGTACAAGTGCACTGCACCGCATGCGTACAGAATGCTGGGTATGGGGCTATGCGACCATTTCGTCCTACATTGTATATTATGCCGTGTATATAAACGAGTGAGCTTACCGTCAAAAATGTTATTGCAGGATAGTACTGTGTAGATGCATAATTAATAACCTTTTGTCAATGCAGTATGTGACTGTTACGTATTGAGCGGTCAAAAAATATCGTGAACTGGCTCGAGTTTATAACTTCTGCCTAAAATCAGTGAAAGATGGGATTTTTTTTAAGTTTTATAATTGCACGACGATGTTTCCCTACCTCATTTAAAATAGTCCTTGCGGATTCTATACAGATTTTATTTACTACACTTAACAAAGCAGGGAAACCATGGGGTACATTGCCCTACGGGGAAAACCCGCGGATAAAAAGCAAAAACATCAAACGAAAGCTTGTTTAAACAGATCAAACAAACCAACATCTTCCAGGTGAGCAAACTCTTCTTCCAGAAGCGCCTACAGGAAACATATGACCTATTATGGTACGCGAGTCGATGCAGCAAAAACGAGCCATTCTAATTACGGGCTTTAAAATCATTCTGTCTGACAGAAAGAAAAAAAGCAATGGTAAATTGATAATCAAATTGATTATCAGAAACGACGTACATTACATTGGTTCATCCCGTCAAGAAAATCAACTTCAAAGCGTGAGCGCAGCATACATACAAGTTAATTTTACAATTGGTCAGTTAGTAGAATACATGCTTTATAGGACAATGATTTACCATTGAGTAAAATTATTTCATTACAATACACGATACAGTACGGCTGAGTACGCACCAGAATACGTCAGGATCTCTGGCCGACTGCCATATAACTGTGCCTGATTGGTTTGGATGATTGCGTCGTTACCCGGTTGTCCCAAATCCGCCTGAAAAATTAATACCCAACTCTTACGTTAAATTTAAAATTGAATTAGAAACATGCAAAACGTTTTGCTGACTTTCTGTTAGAGTTCCCGTGTTTCAGCAAGTAGGATTTTTCAGTTAAAGGGCACAGTGCCGAAAAAACTTACAGGCACATCGGGCTCACGAACTGATTGACTCTGCATCCCAACGGAACGACTTCCACCAGTAAGGTCGGGTATCGATATCGGTAAGCCGTCGGCGCCCTGAGCCAACACGGTTCGATGAATAAAGTTCAAAACCAGGAAAGATAACCCGAACAGCACCCTCATGGTTTAGATTGCAGTCAAATGCGCTTTAAAAATTTTAAACATGAATAGTAGATTAACGAAATTAAACATGCGTTATCGGCTCTTATATACTTTAGTCACCAATGGCCCAATTAAAATTATTCAAGTAATTCACGTTTTCGACAGACTCAGCTTGAAATTTGGAAAATCTTGAAAAATGGCCGGAAAATGGTGCTGTTTATGAATTCCAGCAAACTCAGCAACCAGCAATACTTGAGCGCCATTTGCATGTTACGGGCTATTCTGGCTAATGGGACTGGTGAATCACATATACAGCGTCCGGGAATTTTGCCAATCTAGCAAATTCAACCATTGGAAAATTGCAGTCAGTTTTCCACAAAACACTTGTGGTAGCACCCGTTCCGCAAGCAGACGACTGTAATTACAGACGACTACAAATCGCTTCTTCATCTGCTTCAGAATCAAAAGCTATGGAATAAGGCATAGCGATCGTACTCCTGTATTGTTATCGTGCAAACAAATTTATTTAACACAGAAATTTCGATTGTCTTATTTTTTTAACAAATACAAGTAGTTCTTTATTTCTAAAAAAACCACTCCAGAAATAGATTATGTGATCGGTTTTCTCGTCTGGGAAGTCGGAAAATATTTTTACAAATTTTTAGTTTAAACTCCCGCAATTTTCATTGCCTTGTGGGAGCATGCGATCGCTGGAACACACATTTCTCGTAAAGATTTGAGTGGTTTCGCTTAAACCGCCCAATATAGGATATACAATTCTGATTATGACTACATAAGCACAATTTATCGAAAGGTAGCAACTAGAATCGAGGGTAATTCTTCTGTTTTGCTAATCTGGATAAAGGAACGCATGAAATGCAGCTTGAGCCTTGCACAGAAGAGCTTTGGGAACCTTGCTGCGAGCCTCCGATCTTCGGCGATGATTTTTAATTTGCAACTTCTTCCCGGCCAGGCGAACGTTTTTTTTTATGTCTGCATTTTGAATTAAAATTATTTGTTTTCCTGTGGGTTTTAATAGTTGTTTAGTAACAGATAGTACTTATTGTCTGGATTCCAAAAAAAAGTATATGCATAGTTCGGCTATCTAGCTAACGGTTTTTCGTTTTTCGTTCGTATGCAGTTTTGGTTGTGCGTATTTCAAGCCATCACCAGAGAATTTACAGTATTAGCAGTGGTAGCGCCATTGTAGTTGTGATGATAGCTGTCATACAAATTTTTGTGCTTGCATAATTATCATACTTTCCAGCTTTCGGGCATCGTTGTGCAGAGCATGGTTTGTGGAATTTGTGCAATCAGCCACTTCAAACAGGTACCATACTTTGTTTCAGCGTAGCGCCCACCTTGCCGGATAAGAGTAAGAGTGGCCGGATATGTTTGCGGCAGCTGAATCGGTATTCTAGTAATTCTGGCTTACACTCTGAAACCGTGAAGTTATGACCCCATACATACACAGGAAGCATAGCTTAAGTATACCGGAACGCGGTTTTCTCACGCCACATATGCCGGAAAATGATGTTAAAAATCGTATGTGGTACGAAGCAGGGAACATTTTTACTTACGTATTCGAAATATCTTGATTTCGGTCGGTTATTAAGCCTGCCGAAAATATGCCAGCCTAGAAAAAAGTCTGCATTGCGTTGAGGTGAACACATTTATATTGAGACAGCTATTAATCGAATAGAAGAAATCAAAATCACGGGTAATTATGCAACCTAGAGCTTTATGCATTTTCGGTAAAAACCAAAACGTTTCTGTTTTATAAAAATCTTTATATTATGTACATACATATATGTCTTGTATTACAAAGTAAATTAAATTCGGAAAATTATGATTTAGCAACAGTGGCAGTGCTAGTACTAGTACGCGCGCATCAGTGGCGTCGGTCATGACAATTAGAAGGGTACACATTAAATACTGGTACAGTCGTAATCGTCCTGCACTTGTACAAAACACGCAAAGTTTATTTATAACGGAAAAACCTTGAAAGAGTTCTGCAGAAATGCACTGTGTAATAGTACTCCTTACCGTTAGTAAGAAGTGCTATGTGAGTACTTGTCTCCGTTTGGCCAAGATCTTTGAACCTTTGCAGGCGAAGTTATTTTTTAAGCGTACAGAGGCAATGCTCTTTCTACAAAAAATCGTAATTTTATGAATTTTTACCCGAAAAGAAATTGCCTTGGTCAGCAGAAGTGGCTCAATCAGTACCAAACTTGGTTTCTGTTGTCACTGTCTCGTTGCGGACCAAGCTTCGCGACGACTTGCAAAGACATTGCGAAGTGGCAAGTGACGGTGACCGCCACTGGCAACGGCAACCAATATTACGATGCGACGACAGCGACACAGTATATAATCGCGACACAGTGCCGCTATCGCAGCGACCGTGCTAGTGCTGTGCCCTGGTACAGCAGCAAACACGGCGCGACTACAGCGACACGGTATTTCAGCGCGACAGTGCCGCTACAGCCGCGCCGTGTTTCTGGTTATGCCAGGGCATAGCACTAGCACGGTCGCTGCGGTTTGTTGCGATGCCCTGGTATAGCATTGTCGCTGTGTATCCCGCGCGACAGCGACGAAACTCAAGTTTGGTACGGATTGGGCCAGTCCTAAATATTGTGGGCCCGGTAAATCGGTAGATTGTTGCAACGTTAGGCCTTCACATTCGCAAGGTTAGGTTATGCACGACAGAGGAGTGTAACCATTTTATAAAGCTTAGCACTCTCAAAACGATATTGCTACGTCCACTAAAACATAATCTCCTCGGATGGTCGCCTAAGAGGACCACCATAAGCGATGGTCGTTTAAGTGGACTGAGGACTCCCTAAAATATAAAATTCCAAAAAAGCGATTTTCTTCCTGGGTTTTTCCTCGTCCGATTAAACAGGATATCCCCTTCACAGAGAACTTAAAATTTCGAAAAAGCTTGAACCGCTTTCTAACAATCCCGTCGTGATGAAATCAGTGACGAAAGCGCCACTGCACTACGCCAACAATGTTTCTGTCAATGTCGCACATGGGCGGCTGCACCGTTCAGTGTAGATGCCAAACTGTTTGTACGCCGAAGTGTCACTTGCCGAAATTTCTTAACTCGAAATGGTCGGACACGGGTCCGTGAGCACGTTCCTGCAAGACTGCCCGAAGCGCTAGTGTATATTATTTATTTTATATAGTGTCGGCACACCGTTCACTGTTCAGGCACTCTGAAGCAGGACCTAAAAGTCAGCTTGAAAGTTTTGGTCCGCTTTTGGAATGGTAAAAAATTAAACCAACTCGGGTAGTATTTAATTTTTTGGACTGGTTATGAGTAAAGCACACGGACTTTTGGTCAAATAATGCCAACGGATTGTCTCATTATTAAGAAATGTTTTTCATGCTTTACTCTATAATATCTGCAAAGTGCTGGATTGCAATTCTCATCACCAGACGCCGGAATCCCTACCAGCGCAGCATCTTTCTTACCTTATTCCCTCCTTATCTTTCCCCACCCGGATTGCAATGACATCAGTCACATTTCGTTATATTAGACAAATCCACGTTGGCGTAATGGGCGGCCGGAGCAAAGCCAGAAAAACTTTTTTACTGGCGGTGATTCGATTTGATTAATTTTATTCTAATTGTTTCTTCTAGTAGACATTAGAAACAGATCAGAGCAATCATTATGAAAAACCAGGCCAAACTAGTATTTTTAGGCGGTTTTCTTTCTCTGTAAAGCAGTAAAGATTTTTCAGACTTTTTGCTTGTTTTCTGCTTCAAAAGCGACATGGATATGGCAATTACCCACGGCCCAGCCCTTCTGTGGCCCTCTGAAACTTGCAGCACCCAACACACTAAGCATTTTCGAAAGAAAAAGAACAGGGAAAAATATCTGTTTTTCACGATGCCATATGTTTACAAATTCTGTTTCTTTAACACAATGGTCAATAAAGAAGATATATAGGGGAAAGGCCATTATCAGCACCCATGTTTCCATGAAACAGAAATATGGAGGGATAGATAGGTATGTATGGATAGATAGGTACAATGGACGACAAAAAAATGAAGTTGAACCGATCAGTCGGTCCGCGGTTCAAAAATAACCTCGCAACGACACGCCACCAGTAAAACTTAAACGCTTACTCACTTTTTTGCATGCTACTTTCAGACGCTCGCGCTCCGTGAATGTCGAAGTGCAAGTATGCAGATTGCATATCAAAAGGGGTAGAAAAAAATTTTAAACTTTTTGATACTAAACCTGTGGCTGTTTATGGCGAACAACACAAATTCTAGTCATTTTGCTTCTCGTAGGCACAGCATAGGATCTGTGCGCAAAACCGTTTGGCTTGCATTCTATGATTAAGTCTACGGGAAAGCAAAATGGCTAGAATTTGTGCTGTTCGCCATAAACAGCCACATGTTTAGCATCAAAAAGTTAAGAATTTTTTTCTACACCTTTTGATATGCAATTAGTATAGTAACACTTCGATATCCACGGAGGCGAGCGTCTGAAAGTAGCATGCAAAGAAAGTGAGTAAGCGTCAAGTTTTACTGGTGGCGTGTCGTTGCGAGGTTGTTTTTTGAACCGCGGACCGACTGATCGGTTCAACTTCTTTTTGTCGTCCATTGTATGTTGGTACAACCAAATCACTAGTCCCCACATTGGTTTGTAACCTGGGGGTACGCTGCTAATAGGGAACTCGTGCAAATTGCTTCTTGAAGCTTTAAATTGGAATTCGCAAAGAAGCGCCGAATAACGTGTTAATAATGCAATAATATCTCGAGTAACCAGAGTACCGTTAAAGGCAAGCCGCTGCTGGCTAAAAGGTTATGACACTTAAAGCTTTAAGAAGTTTCAAAGTACGCATTGGGCCACTAGCATGCATACACACAGGACTGAGATATAACCATATAAGTAGGTATGTCAGGGACGGGAGGCCGGTGGCGTAGAAAGGGGAGGGAGTTGAAACTTTGACTTCCTGTACAATGTATTGTATTACTTTTTGTACGCAGTGATTGGAAAGGAATCAGACTTTGATGAATACTATCACCGTAGCGATGTCCGAGGGGTGGGTTTGCGAAACGAGCTTAATTTTGAAATTATTGGCGCAGTAAATGCAGAGCGAATTTGAAAACGGACGTAATAGACGCAGCCAATCTTTCACTCCCCATCGCTTGGACTTCGCTACGGGTCTGTCTTCTGATGTTGTTCTATCGCCTACATTTCTTGGATTTCTGGGGCTTCTCAGTCATCAATGATTTTCAAAACATTATGACTGCGTGCACGAGTAAACACGGGGTTTGCTGCTTGCATGGGATGTCGGACAAGTCGCCACGGGCTTTGACAGTGTTCACGAAGTTTCACAACTCCATTTAAATACTTTTGAATTTTACTTCGAAAAATTTAATCAAGCGGGCGAGCGAGCCCGCGTTTCTAATTCAAGACATATTGAGGGTTCTTTAAGACGGGGAGTACCCATGACCTTTGGGTCGCCGCGTGACCTTTGGGTCGCCACTAATTTTCATGGTGATTCCTATACAGTTTGATGTGCTGAGTCGAACTGAAGTACTCGGGGACTTCGAACCAGGGTCACCGAGGTCGCCACAACGATATGTACCATATATGCGCAGTTCGACCTGAACTGAAGTACTCGGGGACCTCGAACCTTGGTCCCCGAGGTCGCCACTACGATATCTACTGTAAATGCACAGTTTGACCTGCTGAGTCGAACTGCAGTACTTGGGGTCCTCGAACCCGGGTCCCCGAGGTGGCCATTGCGATATGCAATGTATATGCACAGTTTCACGAGCTGAATGAAATAAAGTTCCACTATATACATTTTAAGTGCTCAGTCAAACTGAAGTCCTGTACGGGCCAGCACCCAGCACTCGGAGAAATTTTCAACGGTGCAGTCACTTAGACGTTGCACGATGCTGATTACAATCGCGTTCAAGCTTACATACAGTGCCGCTACATACAGAAAGTTGAATATTAGCTGAACGCAGTCGGCTCTACTTTCACCCGCCTGCCGTACTGTACTGTTCGTACTGTCCAGAATTTCTCCGAGTGCAGGTTGTCAGTACAGTACTCGGAAAACTCGGATTATTTTAGAATTTAAATATTTATAAATATTTCTAAATATTTACAAATCTTTCTAAATGTTTCTAAATATTTCTAAATATTTGTAAATATTTCTAAATATTTCTAAATATTTCAAAATATTTCTAAATATTTCTAAAAAAATTTTAATTTTTGAACTCTCCTGGTTATTATTTTACATATTTCCCTGATATTTAGATATGCAAGCACACATTTTATTAACCGAGGAAGCAGCTGACAAAGTGCATCTTTAGTGGTCTTAAAATTCCGTGCAAGTACAAAAACGCTGAGCGCAAAATGAAATAATTATTATTATAACAAATTCCTGTTATTTATTTTTTTTTATTAAAATTCTAGATTAGGAAATATTTCTGAATTTTGAAGTAAATATTAAGTTTCGTTCCTCAGCTTTTTATTTACTGCCTGAACCATTCTTCAGATTTGAGGTACGAGCAATTTTAGAAATAACTCACCAGTTCTAAAATTTTTCAAATGTAAATTTAATTTTCCTATAAATTTTAGAAAGTTTTTTTCCTAATTATTTCGTTAAATCATATGCATTCAATTTCAATGTAAATTCGGATTGTATTGTTCGGGTTTTTGGCTGTGTATTTACGATACCTACTACGTTCCCACGTTTTCTGCCCAAAACTATTTTCAAAATATTAAGCGTAATTCTCAAGACATGGTTTTGGATTCAAAATCAGATTTCAAGCTGATTATCTTTTATTATATCAAATTTCTCTCCTTGATGCCCATCTACTGGTAAATCTGAAAACTACCAAGATAAATTTTTTTAATGGTTACCGCGAGGTATTGGTAATCTAAAATTCATATTAGCCTGCCACGGCGTGCTCTTTGAATGTATTCTGTATAAACTGCGGGATGCTCTGCAGAATTAAATCTACAAAACTTACAGCGCTGAATCTTGGACGGGCGATACCACTAAACTTAAAATCGCACCAACTTCCAATCAGTCGAATTTATTAGTTTTTTAATGAATAAAGAGGTAGCAATAGACAGCACCCGTTCGGAGGCTGCTCACGAATCGCGATCAGCGCGCTCACCGTTACTGTTCTGGTTGTAAGAGCCAGACAAATTTAAGTAATCTTAATTTTACAGTAATTCACACTGTCATTTTCTCTTTGTGGTGTTATGCCCATAATAAATTGTAATGTATAGTTAATTTATTGTTTACGGGCAATGTTATTACTTAGCTTGGCGCTCATATTAGTGTGAGCAGTGCACGAAATATGTTTCGGTTTACGACTATCGACTTTTGCGTTTCGCTGCAGTTTTGTCTTTTACGACTGATGGTTTTCTCACTATAAGCAGTGATAACAATGTAAGACGATTTTACATCCAATTTGGGAGATTTTAGACAAAAGTGACAGAAGCCCTATTACGGTATTCTTTCCAGGTTTTAACATAAACTTTATAGTTTTTGAAATATTACAATTTAAGAAAAATTGCCGTTGTTAGGTGTACAGACACTCATATACACTTATGCGGACTGCATATTTATGCCCTTTGACATTTAGATTTGAACAAGTCGATTCATAATGACATTTTTCATGTACCGTTTTTGAAACTTATTGAAATCTATATCGCTTATCACTCTCCAACCGGACGTTGCGTCCACAACGGCTTTCACTGCAGTTTCACAAATTATTTGTCCTCAGAATGTCACTAAGGAAGGTAAACAAGTGTTTGGGAGTGAGCGAAAGCTAAAGTTTGAACGGATTCAGTAAATATGTAAAATAAGAAATTAACAAATTAAGAACTTAAGAAAGAAATTAAGAAATTAAAAAATTAAAAAATTAAGAAATTAGGAAATTAAGAAAACAATAAAATAATAAAATAAGGAGGGAAAAATCGAATGGAATATTCTAGACTAACAACCAATCACAACCTATAACAATTACAACACATCTTAATGACGCCCAGAGTTCCTGACCCCTCCCATACCTCTCAAATCTCTCGTAGAGAACATTCGGATCTACCTTTACACCGGCCCACTGTCGCGCCCGCTTCGCAGAATACTTAACACATGTGCTGCCTTATACATTTAAAATTGAAAATCGCCGCCCGCTTGCCCTAAGGGCGTATGAGACCTTACACTAGTTTAACTAATCGTTGCCGTTCCCGGATAGACCCGTAAAAAACGCGGTGAACAGTGCCATCGCATAGACACCGTATTCAGCACTCTTCTGTTTTTGGCCTCGTTCCCTGACCACACACATTTTTGTCCCTAATGTATTTTCTTTAGATATCGATTAGGCGCTTCGCTTCCGCCGTCGTAATCCGACCCGAAAATCACACCGCTAAAACCTGCTCCCGACCTCTTGTGCGCGCGGCCAAACCCAGTGCAAACATCCGTGCACGAAGAATCGACCTTTTCCAATTTATAACATTCCCGAAGTAATGCAGTTCACAACGGAGGTGGGTAATTACCTTCGCTTACAAATTCTGCAGAATATTACTTACGTAGATCTAGGCTGTCTACTGCAAGATAAATTTTCGGAAGTAACGGCTTGACGAATTACACAAATACCAGTTTCTCGGATTTGCCGCTAGCCGTATTTCAGGTAAGCGGCGCGCTTGAACAGAGAGTAAAATCTTTAGTCAACTGAGTAATTATTCCTTCAGGCTGCAAAGGAGTACTTTAAGGCAACAATACTTCCTGCCTTTTAACGAGTTGTGTTATCCAAAAATTCCGTTTGTAAAAACAGTGCTGGTTTCGAGTGTGGCGAGTGTTTCTGAGACTATTGCTTTGAATTTAAAAAATTCGTTCATTGTGATGTGCGGATAATTCCTCGAGACTGCTACCGAAATCTGATTTTTTTGGAACTTTAAATAACAGAGAAAGAGCGCGCGATGTTGCTGTCGTATGTAATTGGATTTCTGTTAACCATCACTACAGATAGTATTATACAAGCCAACGGGATGCGTCAGTCATCAACAAACGTGTGCATGACGGATCTTTGCCAACAAATTGGTATGTAAAAATGCTGCCAATTGCGAAGCAGCAGAAATCAACTTTATTCAATAAAAAGTGAGCATGAACGATTTCCTGTAGCAGCTATACTTTGCATTGAATTTCCAGTGAATTTCCATCTGACCACTGTCGCTCTCGTGTTACAATGACGTTATGGGGCTTTGTGCAATTAATTTGTGATTTTCATAGCCCGTGAAACCATCTCCAGCATGGATGAAACTTTTGATCCGTGCGTGGATTTCTACGCCTACGCTTGTAACCGTTGGAATAGCAGCAATGGTCTGGCGAATGAAGTGATCGCTCCCATGATTCGCGAACAGCTACAAGGTATGTGTGGAGAACGCATTTGCTGACCGGTGCTCAACAATCCTAAGTACTTAGTTATTTTCGCTTGGTCCGTATTGTACCTGGAGCCTACGTTAACACTGTTATCGTAAATCATAATGTTTCAAGTGCAAAACTTAACAAGATAAAATCAATTAAGCAAATGAAAATTTTTATTGATTAAAACAATCGATCCACAGAAATTTGTATGTAATAAATATTTCGCATCTGTGATGTACGGTACTGAGATACTGCTCGGTTCCATAAATCGTACAAAAACGAAATATTTGTAATTTTTGTTGGAATGACGCCGGTAATTGTTCGACTTAAACGCACCGAGCATTTGTTTGTTAAATTATAGCTGAAGAATTTGGTAACAGAATTTCCAAATAATGGCCGAAGTCAAAACTTCATCGGCTTTTCAATAAAGGGTCAATAAATCGGCAGAACGTTTTCTAGCGTTCTGGCAGTGGAAAAGAAATTTAAAGGACACGGAAATTCGCCCTGAAATTTATCTTTAGACATAGTTCACTTTTATATACTTAAAACTCAATCCCTGAAAATCAAAAATCTTTTCCTTTATTTAATTTTTTAGTCCTTCTGGCACTATTCCGTAATTGCTAATTCGTATAATGCTTAGCGGTGTTCAAGTTCTAGGAAACTGTGAAATGCTCAGCAGTTACAACAAAATTGTCAAATCCGGATTGTCAAATTGTCAAATTGCAAAGCACAAGGAAATTGGTTTTAAATGAATATTGCTCAGTATTCTTCCAAACTTATAGCAGTATTCTCTGCGAAGCATTACTGCATCCTGGCAGCAGGGCAACGCTGCAACATTTCGCCGTAGACAACTAGGCGCAAGGCCGCAGACATATCGCGACTTGATCGCAGGCTTATCGCCTCAAAATCGCCGGGTGATATTTTGTCTCGAAACTTTTAGTTGGCAGGATTGCACGCCGCGCGACATTTTGTCCCAACGCCGTTTCTGCGAGGAGCCATTTTCTTTGTGAGACACACAGTTCATTATCTTGAGAAAACAGTCGAGCAAACGACAAAAACAAATTAGAAAACAGAGGAAATACAATAAGGCACGAGAAAAGCATCAGAAAATATAAGCATTATATACGGAAACATATATTATATTTTTGTTATGTTTTCGTTCTAACTCAGGACAAACCAAACCTAAAAGCACCTAGGAAAGTATAAACAGCTCGAGAAAAATAAGAAATGAAAGAATCTAAGAGAAAAGCTAAGGAAGAAGCAGGAAAATCGAAGGATAAGATGTTGACACAAGGAAAGTCTAATTTCGGGCGACGAATCGTTCGTATTGACACGCATTGCTTCAAAATGAGGCAATGGTAAAATGCCCCGAACCGAAGTCTCACTGCCTTCCAATGCCCGGCGAAATTTCGCGGTAAAACGTTGCGCTTCGAGTTTGTTTACGGTGAAATCCTACACTAGCCAGTGCCCGGGTGCGCTGCCGGCATGCCTGTATTTTATTACAACTTCCGCTTTGTTTAGAACTGTTCGACAGCGGAAATTACACCAACCCCACGGAGAAAAAGGCAATCGACGTTTATGACCAGTGCATCAGCCAGAAGCGAGGTATGTATTGTAAAATACTGTAAAGTGTGCTGAAAGCCAGTTCTCGATTTTGAAAGAGCTAAATGCGGAGAAGGAAGCACCGTCAAACGGCCTGAGCCGTCACACCATACTTAAAAGTAAAAAGCAAACGACTCACTTGCGGAAAATAAAACGGTACTGCGTGGTCTAAACCTATTTGCTCAACCTATCTTTACTGAATAATCTGTTAGTCGTAAAACAGTCATTCGTATTAGGTAATTTTCATTCGAGAAATACCGCCACCAAGACATAAAAAGCAGACTGTTGACCATTACAGTCATGATTTCTCCAACAGGACACTCATCCGGCGGCGGAAGTCTTGTGCGCGTTCTCGATGACGTAATGGGTGGATGGTCGCTGTTGAAAGACCACTACAATGTCTCTTCTTTTCGTCTGGACGACACTCTTGTCCGCCTGCAGCAGAACGACATTCGGACCTTTAGCGATCTTACCGTAAACAGGAACGAATTTTCTAGCGAGGAGAATATCCTGTTCTTTACACCTCCTAGTCGCCTCTTTGGACGATGGAGGCTTGGTTCACTGATCAACGCCCATTACAAGCCCACTGTTCGCAACGCGACTGCGCAACTAATGAAGATATGGTCGCCGGTCGTGCTGCGCTTACTAATAGAGGCTAATACAAACGTCCATCGGCCAACTGTGGAAAAGAGACTGGAGAAAGCTCTTATGTTGGATGTTACGCTGGCAAAGGTGCGAGCTATATTTCAAAAATATGCTGATTTATCTTCTGTTTTTTAGCAACTATTCTTAGCATCGCACTTTAAAACGTTATTCCAAATTACCTATTGAAGTCATATTGTTCCATCTTAACTGCGTTTTTGCTTTTGCTAAAGTTATAATTCTACGTAAGTTCTTGTTTTATTTTAGCTTTATCCCGCCTTCAATTTGCCCATTTTGAGAAAAAATTCTTTCAGTTTTTGTATCAATATTTTTATATTGCACGCTTACTTTTTTTTCGTTATTTTTATTTCTTCATAAAATATTTACCATTTCAGGGGTCAACAGAACTAGTACTCCATCGAAAGCGTTTAACCTTCGGGGATCTGAAAAGACCACCATTCCGTTCGCGATTTCTTGCAAATTTCTTGTCTCTGTTTAACACCATGCTTAAAGCATCTTCGGTGGAATTTCATGCCACGCCGGCCACGCAGTTCGGGGTCCAGCCTCAGCTGGAGTATCTCATCAATCTGGATCACACTATGGCGCAGCTGGAATGCGAAGGCGATGCGGGATTGGCGACACTTGTTGATTGGCTCTGGTGGACCGCTCTCTATCACCTTGTATATCGAGAAACGGGCACCTGTGTAGAGCTGGTAAAAGCGGCCATGCCGTTGACCGTCTCAGGAATGTTTTCAAGACATACATACCGAGAGGAGCCGTTCAAGAGGTCATGCACAGGCATTTTCTTTATTGGAACCTAGTTTTTTTTCCAAAAAAGAATAATTTGTGGCAAAATTGGCGTTCCGGCATAATGCGAGATAAAAAATGTTGAAATAACAATAATCGGCTTTATGCGCCAACAGGCAAAACTGCTGACAGCCGAAATTGCCAATAGTGTTCGTGACGCAGTCCTCCTTAATACTGACTGGATGGACCGGGATTCACAGGAGTTCGCCATGACTAGGCTAAATCATACGCTGCGGAATGTTGGTTATCCCGAGGAGTTCCTGGGCGACTGGAGGCTCATTGATGACCTCTACGCAAAGGTAGTTATTCCTTCGCACCGCTAGCTTTTGAAAAGAGTTTCAAGGGTGAAGTACGGAAGGTGAAATACCTTCAATTATTGAAGTTCAATACGTGTAGGGTGAACTACGGAAGACAAAATACCTTCAATACGTGTATGGTCTTTCTTTGATACGAGTTTTGAAAAAGCAGAGACACGATCACTAATAAATTTGAGAAAGAGTTTTCTATGCGAGGTGAATCGTAGTACTAATCTGAAACAATGCCAAATTAATCCCACCCTTAACTTTACTGAGTGCAGTGTGCACTGTGCAGCACGGATGGATAGCACGCAGCAAAAAAATAAAAATGCGGTAGATGTAACAAGCTGTAGATCATAAGATAAAACGCAAGCGTTGACTGCTAAATGAACCTTGGCTAACCGGGATAACTACCACTTTGGCAGTTAGGATGTAGCAATGTAATACCTGAATATTTTAGATACTTCTATGGACGACCTCGTGCACGTTAAATTTTTCGAGGCATGTTTTTTTGCTTGTACTCACAGTATCCTGCCGTATTCCACGGTACCCTCTACGTATCTCTCATGTATCCTCACAATGTTTTGACGTCTGTTCGTTGTTGCCGTATCCCTCCGTATCTCTGCAGTATCCTCTATGTATCCACATGAACCCCGTTAAAAAACCTAAGAAACCTAAGAAAACTTAAGAACTAAGAAAACATAATAACGGGATACATGGAGGATGCGCAAAGGATACCGTGGGGTCGGTGGGGATACTGTGAGATACTCTAATTAAAAAGCGTGTCCACATTAACCATATTTGAAATACGTGCCGAATATACAATAAATGATGTAGCCAGTATCCCTTGTTATCCTTTACGTATCTTTGAGGTCTCCTGCTGAATGCAGGTTAAAGGATCATCAGCAACTGTAGTATCGTAGTATCCCAACGTATCTTAGACTTAACGTATCCTTACTGTATCCGTCGAGTATCCGGATAACACTTACATTTGGGATGCACATAAGGATTCTGCAGAGATACGGTGGGATACTGCAGTAACTAAAACAAAGTCGGGATATTTGAGGGATACATGAAGGATACGCAGAGCATACTGTGGAATACGGTGGGATACTGTGGATACAACTAAAAACACATATCGGAAAAAATTTAACGTGTACTAACCGTGCCATAGGTGTAATATTTCGCTAAATCGCTGCGTATGGCATACGGGTTTCTCGTAATATGCCTAATATATAATTATGTTGTATATTAGGGCATTTAGGGGTGACACCTGTATAAAGCTCATGTCAGTCCCCTATGAGCCAGAACGTTGGTGACTGTACGTGAAGTAAAAAAGGCAACTGCACGGCTGCGTTTTCTAGTTCATCTGTGCAGGTTCAAGTGGGAGTAAAATTCTATGACACACTGCGCACTATCGATCAAAGCAACAGCTGGATTAACCTGCAAAAACTTTCCCGCACCAACGCCCGGAATGATCCCTATTTTCCGCCTGATTTGACGTCAGTAAACGCCAAGGTGTATCCGGACAGCAATTACATAGGTATCTTGCTAGTTCGTTCATCCTCGCTTGGACTGAAATAATGTTAAACATTATACGATTATTTCTGGCCCATAAATAAAAAGCTGATTTATGGACTTTACAGTCATTCCAGCAGCACTCCTACAGCCACCCATGTTCTACGCAAACAGCTGCGAAATTGTTAATTACGCTCGCTTAGGTGCGGTCCTTGGGCACGAATTCACCCATGTTTTCGATTTCGAAGGCGAGAATGGTTTCTTTTGCGGGTAATATATTTCATTGCATACAAGTTATAGCAGATATCGTGTTTAGATGGCATATTTTTTAACTGGTGGACGAATGCGACTCGAAACAAATACAATGCAAAAAAGTATACTTTGGTCGATTTCTACAACAGCATCAGCACGAAGAACGACAGCATCGATGGCCGACAAACTCTCAGCGAGAACACTGCCGACAACGGCGGATACCGAGCTGCTTATTTAGTAATTCTGTTCATATATTTCCTAATTTACGTTGCGCAAAGAATGATTGTTTTACAGGCTTACCATAATTTTTTGCACCGCACTGGATACCGCATCAAACTACCGGGGTTAGAAGCGTTTACTGAGGATCAGCTATTTTGGTTAATCGGGGCTCAGGTGACCTTTGGTGAGAGTTAGAGCGAGACACAGCTACATTGGAAGTTGTTTCTAGACATGGTGCATCCGTAAAGAAGCTCCTTTCGATGCAGTGCACGCACCGTTCCGATACCGTGTAATGGGGCCGTACATGAATAGCGCGAATTTCAGTGCAGCTTACAACTGTCCGCTGGGATCCCCGATGAATCCGCGAATTAAGGCGTGGTAGAGACGATATCAAATTTAGAGGCGGTTTTAACTGTTACCGGGGAAATTAGCACTGTGTAGTGACGAGGGTGATAAAATAATGTTATTACTGTAAAGACCAGTGAATGCTGCTGCGCATCTCTGAATGAGGTGAACATCGGGCAAAGCTTGAACAATATACCGAATGTGTCATTTATGTTAAGTCATTTATGTTAAGTTGCGAAACATGTATTGTTTGGCAGGTATAATTCGCAACTGCCATTTGGTGCCTCTTCCTTCGTCGCAATTGCTAAGCAAAACTGCCATTTTCTGTGAAGGCATAAAGTAAATTCCAAACCAAACAGCATTCATAGAATGTGCAAAGGATTCACAGAACGCACAAAGAATGTTTCAAAAGTTCTGCCTGTTTTTTTTTCTCCTAGCTTGAGGGCATTTCGCCAGATTTCCCATATTTCTGGCGAGTTTCGCAATTTCGCCAGAGTTACTGCGATTTATAACTCGTGATGTCTGTGTTAAAGAATTTTCCCTCTCGTGATATGTATAAATTTTTAAATAATTTAAACTAACTTAGTTGTACCGCTTTCTAAGGAAAACAGCAACTATGTGTAATTGGGAGTCAAAATCTACAAGCTGTGCAACATACGGCACTAACAAAAATAGACAATCCTTGATACCTGGTTTCCTGCCATCGATAAATTTCGATGTTCTATGGTGTGTACTTTCTTACATAAACATCGCTTATTTCAAAAAGTGCTTTTTGCTAGGGGCAAAAAATTTTGCATTCATAAAAGAGGAACGCTGGTAAAGGCAGCTGAAGTAAATAGATGGTAAAGAAAAATTGCTTCTGGCAACAGTAGCGTTTTTACTCAGACAGAAAAACAGAAGACACCATAAAAAATACTGGACGACATAACGAAATAAGAAAATCTTGGAACCTTGCAAAAAAATACAAAAGCTAATACATAGAAGAAATTCCAGAAAAGTGAGGTGGGTGCGGTCGATATGCCCTTCTTTCTACGGTGTATGTACTCGTATCAACAAACCGCAGTTCGTACAATGTGCCTTGTAGAATTTCAAACACGCTTTTTCTAGCAGAAAAATAAGAAAACATAATCTGCATTATGCATAGTAACAAAAAGTGCTACTAACTGCCCTCAATTTGTGAGATCGAAAATCAAATTTGCTACTAGATGGAATCGAAAACCAACCCTCGGCTTGGTACTGTCAATTCAAGAATTATCCCCTCGATTCAAAAACTTTGACTGTCCGAGAAAACTTGAAAAACACCGTTCTACTTAAAAATTTTTTCCCATCTTTTATTCCGTTTCCGGCACCGATGTTGCACTGCGGCAATAAAATGGCCGCATTTTCGACAGCATAAAATTCATTCAAGCAGTTATGCCGATACTGCGGCTTGTGCTCACGCCATGTACGGTATATACAGAAAGCGCATACACTCCATACGTGCATACTTTAACGCAGAAGCGGGTCATGTACATTGTGCTTGGAGTTGGATGGGCATACTGATGGACATCACATGAATTTAATTTTGAGTCGGCAAACAACCGGAGCTTTGTTGTATCTGGAGATGAAGAAAATTAACATGTTATTCGCTAGATGAAACCCATAAGGCACACGAACAAGCAGGACGTAAATAGTTATCTGTATTCCGAGTGTAAACGACGAGTGACCTGCCCGATTTACGTTCCCGACAAATGGCCGGGATGGAAAAATTGGTGTGATACTTCTATGTCAAATACTAAGACACTCTCCGTATCTGTAGCTTTTTAGCAGTAAAAACATGTATACGGAAGGCGCCTGCAGCAAAATACCTGAAAGTTTGCGGATTTATAGAACAGTACGTGGCCGTGAGTCATTAGCTATCGGTCTTTGCATGGATTTGGGAAGGGTTTCTTCCACGGTTGCAGAAGTGATCTTATAGTTCAAACGATCGAGTTCAAAACGCAGCCGGAATTTCAGCAGTTTTTGTAATTGTTGACCTAAGTATCAGAATATTCAACCGTCCTAAAGTTTGGAGTTTTTGATTCTGTTTCGAAACGAACTGAAGTTCCTGACATTCAATCGCTACATATAAACTTCCTGTAAAACGAAATTTTGATGTACATACTGTACTGTACCTGTTTGTTAGTGAGCGGCCTCTGCGTTCCTGCCGTAACGACCCCGGTAAATTGGATATTTTATTTCCCATCAGCAATATTTTGTCCAATCGTAACTAGGAGGTAGACAATGACATGGTGTCGAATTTTCTACCTTTGAAGTTATAACTTCAAAAATAGGAAACTCGACACCACACCATGTAAAAGCTGTAGCTATTACTTTTGCAAACGGTAAACGTGAAATAGAGTCATTAGTCCAAAGTAGGAAATAATATCGCCTGTGGCAAATATGAGTTAGCACTTCCTTCCTGGCATTCAAACCGTTAGCTTTTTTCGAAAGCAGTCTGTTGACTGCTTCTGGTTATGGCAGTAGGACGGATGTCGGCAAAAGTGAACCTACCACAGATAAGTCTATTTCCAAGTTGGAAAACATAAACAGTTTTCAAGCAATCGCAGACAGTTCTCCTTCTCATGTGTTAAGAGGGTAAAACAGAAAATGCTACTCTTGGTTGTTATTATATTTGGAATCAATATTGGTAGTATCTGTACATCAGCTACCGAGAAGCAGCGATCGTCCACGTCTTGCACGTGTGAGCTGTGCCAACACGTTGGTATGTACAAAATTCACAAATACAGTAATTCAGCAAATGCAGTAATTATGCGTTGATCAAGATTTCCTGATTTCATAATTTTAGTGTGAATTTCTTAAAACGGCTTTTTAAATGCTATTGTTGCTAGTGACTACTCGGTAGGGGGTCGACAGGTGGCATTCAGTGATTTAGTTTGTGATTTTGTCAGCCCGCGATATCATCTCCGCCATAGATCCGACCGTCGATCCCTGCGTGGATTTCTACGCTTACGCCTGTGGCCGTTGGAATACCAGCGATCCTTATGATTATGGTCAATTCGGCATTCTCCTGGCTAAGATTCCTGGTCAGCTTCAAGGTACAGGTCAAAACGTGTACACTGGGTGATGACTGGGCATTCGGTGATTCGCAGTACCGTAATTTCTTTGATACCTTGCCTTCTGTGCACGATACAGTATTTTGTGGCCTGGGCGCGATCGGTCAACGCAATTATTAGGAAAATATGGAGCACTGTTACAGTTCTTGTATCATATCAGAAAAGCCCTTATTACGTTGCTGCTGATTGTTTTTCAGAACTTTTCGACAGCGGGAAGTACAGCAATCCAACTGAAAAGAAAGCCATAGATATATATAAACAGTGCATCAACCAGACGCACGATATTTGTAAGTAAAAACACGCATCAACTTGACCAATCATGGTTCCATCACAAACTTCATACTTCGATGTTGTTCTCATTAGAAACGTTGTCGCTGCTCGGCATTATGTAAGAAGCACTAAAATCCACGGCGCGGTACATGATGCAGATTTGGGTATTTACACGAATACTTCCACTTCGCAAACTTCGAAACTTTCGCGCACTGCCAAACACTTTTTTGCATTGTTTCGTTACGTTCTGTAGTTAAATGATTTAAATACGGTTGTGTGAAAACCGTTTGTGCGCGCAACATCCGGTTGGAAAGTTATGAGCAAAATAACATTCCGAACACGAGACTCTCGACGAGTACAGCAAGGATCTCAAGGCAATTATCGAATCTATTGGAATCTCTGTGAGATTTGTTTCAATTTATTCTGCTAAAAACGGCCGTAAGAATAGTCTGTTCGCACGTGTTGGTTCTTACGCTAGTGAAACCGAAAAAATGTTCACTCCCGATAACTGGCCTCCTAACATCGGGGTGCGTGAGTGGGCATTTGCCCCCAAGGAGCTGTAATGGTTTGGTCTCATTGATTTTCACCATCCTTCATCCGTTCTGGTACTTTAGTTTGTACTTTTACTTCGATACTTATTAAATGTTATCGTCCACATTCCGAAAAGTTTACATGCAAGAAGGTGTGCCCAAACTCTTAATGAACAGATCTCGTTCAAATTCTGTAGAGAAAGGCACATACGTATAAAGATGGTTTTGACACGGTACCACAATTCTGGCATTTTTTCCGATTTTAAAATAAATTTAAAACCTTTGTTCCATTTTCTGCAAAATTTGAAAGAGATCGGTCCATAATGAGACTTTTGATACACCTTCTTGCATTTGAACTTTTCGGAATCTTAGTTCGCCCGTAACTTCCCACCCGGATAATGCGCCCACAAACGGTTTCCACACCAACGTATACAGATCATTTTAGCTACAGAATGTATCAAAACGTTGCACAAAAGTATTTGGTACTGCGCGAAAGTGGAACTTTCGTGTAAATACCCAAATCTGGGACCATGTACCGGACCACTTCCCTTAATTTTATATATATATATAGACAGCCAGCTGAACTAATTGGACCAGCTGGTCCACATTAGTAATAGTTATAAAAATTTATTGCCAATAGCCACCCAAACTGCCAAATTGCATGCGCTAGTACACAACTTAATAGTTAAAAATTAAACTTTTTAGTTATTACATGCCGAGCGGTGCAATGCGCTTCATTTCACGTGGAGGGTGTTTCTTTTTGACCGCATATGGTCACCGCGTTTCTGATGCAAAAAATATATCGAAGCGTAAAACCATCCAGCTAATCAATGGTTCAACAGCCCCAGAATCCCGCGACCTAACCTTGTTGCGAACTGTGGACAACTTGCTGGGCGGATGGTCACTGCTCAATGGACATTCCAATGTGTCCACCTTTCACCTGGAAGACACTCTCATTCGTCTTCAGCAGAACAACATCCAGACCTTCGGCCTTCTGCACGTAGACGACAATAACCTGTCCAGCGACGAGCAGATCCTGTACTTCATGGCCCCCGAACGTCTCGTGATGCGGGCCGCCCGGTGGGAGTCCGATGCACTGGACAGCGCCCATGTCAACGACACCATTAATAACACATTCGCGAAACTGTTCCAAGCATGGATTCCTTTCGTGCAAAGTTTAATTAATGCCACCAATAGGAGCGTACAACGGTCCACTGTTGAAAGCCGGCTGGAGAGAGCCATATGGTTAGAAGCGGTGCTGAATGCGGTGCGTCTACAGGCTAGCAATCATCAGCAGAGTTATTTTTCCACATTTATGTTTTCATGTTTTTACGTAATGGTCATTATCTGCTTACACACAAAAATTATTCAACTTAAGGGAAATGGCCCGGTACATGGTGTCAAAAATGGGATACATACACTAAAACTTTCGCTTTCGCGCGCTCCGCATCAACCGAAGTGAACCATTTTCAGATCTATAGCATTCGTATTCGTTTTTAAAATAAATTTCAAAATTTTTAAAATATATTATTTTTTAACTTATGGGAAGTGCTGGGAACCGGAAATTGGATCACTTTCGACATTAAGGCCATGTGTCTTTTACAGCACAGCTTCAAGAAGATCGGGTAATAAACAGACTTTTGGTACACAACAATACATTTAAACGTTTCGCCCATTTCAGTTCGCCATATCTCGGCCACCAGATGTTGCGCGCGCAAACCGTTTTCAGAACAATGTATACGAATCCTTCCTTTAGCTTTAGAATGACATAAAGTATTACAAAAAAGTGATTCAGAGTGCGCGAAAGCGAAAGTTTTAGTGTACGTATCCCATTTTTGACGCTATATACCGGGCCATTGTCCTAATTTACCTAACCAAAAATTTGTTTTGTGATTCACATTATTTTCGAAAAGGCTTTTTGTTGATAGCTTAAGCCTCAAAAGCTGTTTTACTAGTTCGTGAGTTTTCTTCGTTGAACCTGTAATGATTTTATTCCAGGGTGCAAAAGGAGACCTGGACCGGCGGAAGCGCATAACGTTCTGCGACCTTTCGACATCGCCTTACCGTTCAATGTTTCTAGCCAACTTTCTGCCGCTCTTCAATGCCATGCTGAGAGCTTCCAAGGTGGATTTTCAAGCCACAACGGCCACAAAGTTAGGCGACACCAAAACAGGGTATCTTTTGCATCTGGACGAAACGATGGCGGAGCTGGAAGCGGAAGGGAACGCGGGACGGACGACAATTGCCGATTGGTTATGGTTTGCCGCCGTCCATTATTATCTCAATCAACGGACGGACCAGTGCGTGGATCTGGTGAAAGCGAGCATGCCGCTGACCGTCTCGGGCTTGTTCTTCAAGGCGTACATTGGGGATAGTACTCTACAGAAGGTTAACATAGACTTTTATTGTTATTAAACAGACACCGCTGATACATTGTTTTCACAAGTGTATCTGCTCAAACTACAAAAACAATTAAAAAAATTTGTTAAATTACTGGAGTTTTCCATTGGAGACGCGGGGTCACTCTTTTTTTCGTTAACGTTTTGTTGAAAACGTTATTTATGAAAAATTTTTCCAAAAAAGAGGCTAGTGCGAAAACTGCGGTTTTTATTCCGGTATGGGCAGTTTCATTAATAGATAAAATACCGTATTTCGGCATGATAGGCGAAAACGTTGACGTCGGAAATTAATATCGGAGTTCGCGATGCTGTCCTTCTAAAAGCGGACTGGATGGACCGCACAACGCAGGACGCAGCGGTGGACAAGCTGAACCATACACTCCGGATGGTCGGTTATCCTGAAGAGTTCTTGCGCAACTGGACAATCCTTGACAAACTTTACGCAAAGGCCAGTAAACTTTTTTTATATTTTTCAGTTAAATTTAGGAAAAACGCTACTACCGCATGACTTCGCAAAGGAAGCAGTACTCAACTCTGCAGCTGATGCTTTCTTGTGAAAGAATCAGCGAAGGCGTTCCCGATGCGAAATTACTCTTAATTTCGCTGATTTAGCTCAAAGCGTGAATGTGATGCGCCGCTTGTAGATTGAAATAAACCCGGCATTTGCCGACACACTGCGCAGCATCGATCAAAGCAACAGTTGGATTAACCTGCGAAGACTTCTTATCAGCAACCGCAATAATCCTTACTTTTCAATCGGCCTCACATCGGCCAATGCAGGAATGATTCAATATCGCAATTATCTTGGTACCCGAACATATCGCGGCTGATAACCACCAATAAATCTCTTGCATTTGGGAAACGTTCCGTATGCAGTTATTTCGCCGGCATATTTACAGTCACCCTATTTCTACGCGAGCAACTTGGACATTGTCAACTATGCCAGGCTTGGTTATGTTATTGGCCACGAATTCATCCATGCATTCGATATTAAGGGTATACGAAACTGAAAAAGCTTCCGAATGCTCGGCAAATGTATGCAATCGTTTAAGCGCGCTAAGAAAGAAATAATGAGCTCCTGTACCTAAGTTTTTTGAATATTCCTGCAGTACGTGGCCACAAAAGCTACTCCAGGCATGCGCGTTTCATTTTGTCCAGCGCGCTAACTCCGCTTTCGTGCCTGCATACAATCGCCGCGTATTCAGATGCTTCTTTAGTTTCGAGTGCCCTCGTTTTTGGCTAATTTTACTTGAGTAAAACGATTTTTATTTTCAAACAATATTCAATGATGTGCTTAGGTAGAGACTTCGGTAAAAACGGCAAACCATTTAACTGGTGGACGAATGAGACACAGTGCAACTACAATGCGAGAAAGTACACCTTAGTGGATTTTTACAACAACTTCAGTACGCCCAACAATAGTGTGGATGGACGGCGAACACTCAACGAGAACATCGCCGACAATGGCGGAATTCGTGCTGCATACCTGGTTAGTATTTTTATTTCATTATTAGGAAAATTATATGGTGCGCAGAAATTCGATTTTGCAGGCTTTTCATAATTTTATGAGCCGCACAGGGTACCGCATCAAATTGCCGGGCTTGGAAGAAATGACTGAAGATCAACTGTTCTGGTTGGTAGCTGCACAGGTGATCTATGTACCTTTTGCTTGAATGTGGACAAAATTTAACCGGAAGGTTGTTCAGAAATCCTGCACACGTGATCCGAAATTGGAGGACTCCGAACACGCACCGCCTCGCTTTCGTGTGCTCGGACCGCTCATGAACAATCCGGATTTCGGTTCAGCTTACAACTGTTCGCTGGGATCACCGATGAACCCCTGGGTTAAGGCGTGGTAAAGATGCCTTGGTTAACATCGCATCACTGTCCTATATCACTGTTTTTCAAAAACCATGCAAATGCAGCAAAAATTTTAAAAAAATAAGCCCTAACTGGAAACGTATGGGGAAAACGTAAAAATAACGAAAATTTCTGCGATGGAATGCTTATCTCTGAAGGCTTTGTCGGGCAGGCATTTAACGAATTAACTGGTGGTTAATCATAAAACTAAAGACTACTTAAAAATAGTTATGGATCACATTCGCCGATAGCTGCAAACCGATTGTTGTAATTTTCGCTCCCAGACAACTGGGAGTGTGACATTTCAGCGCAATAAAATTCGACGTCCTATTTTTCGCTGTCTAAAAACATCGGCGGATGTACAGAGGTATGTGATGCACGATGAAGATTGACTATCTCACTTAAAGAACGGCAAGGAACTGCTTTCGAATTCCATCAGATTTTATTTGCGACAAGTAACAAAGCAGGAAAACCATGGGGTACATTGCCCTACGGGGAAAACCTACTCGTAGCAAAAACATAACACGCAACCGTTTGAAACGCTAAATAACGCAAACGGAACAGACCAACGATCTTTCTCTAATCGTCCCCAATGTGGCTCATTTAACCCCAAACGTTTCCAGGGCGTCGATCTGCAATGAAAACATGGAGCGTTATGGTCTACATACAAATGCAACGACGTTCACCACTGCCTTATCGTCCGAAGCGCCAGCGAAGTTACTCTACATCATCAAAATAGAAAGTTGACTATATGTCTCTCTGTCCCGGAAATGGAATATAACCTCATTAATGCGTTGCATGCGCGTTTTCTTCTAGCGAAACTTCCTTTATATCACGCTATCACTTTGTTATCCCGTAACTTCTTTAATCCGGTAGAATTTATTTATGATTTGGCTCTTTATTACTGTATGGTCGAGTCAACTTGCAACCTTTTTTTACAGTGAGTCCGATTAGCGTATGTTAGAGAAGTTGGAACTTGGCAAGATGCCTCGACAATACAGTACGTCACCCCATAAAAAGCGCGGGGACAAGGAAAAACAACACACAGATTTTCAACAAGCCCGAAAGTCAGGAGACGATTGCGCTCAAGGAGGACTAATTTTAACAATAATCTTAAGAAAATTTCAAATTTTCCTCCCTGAAACATGTCTTTTTGACACAACTGAACTTTGAAATTTCAACCTTTGAGTCGTTTCTTAGGATATGCTATCGTCTCCGGCAAAATCATGCCTTCTGCCTCAACAATTAATGTTTTCTCTTGCTGAACCATTAACCACGTAACAACCATTAATCAAAAGTTTATGACCAGCAACAGCTTATGTCGTCGTGACCAACAATAAGTAAAACAGATTTGCGGAAAGAAAAACCTACGTTTTCTGACGATACATAATATGCGGCTTGGGATCAGGCCGCTCGACCCAACTAATTTATTTCAACAAGATAAATCGTGATGTCAAGAACGTGGCGGCGACTTTCTGAAGTGCCTTTAAAAACACTTCGTGAAGTGTCACTGTCAACAGCGTGTTTTAGAAACTTGCTTATATTATTCCAGAATCCGGCTTCGGCCACATTTCCTTTTTCCTTTTTACCTACAAACTGACATAAACGAACGCTTCAACGAATAGAGGAGGGTCACACAACCGCTTAAATATCCTTCTGAAAGTGGTATACTCTGTATCTATCATTAAAAGTAGCCACTTGTACGCTGCTGCTGCTGTTTGTCACTTATTAAGACCAGTGAAATGTTTGGGGATGTTGTAAATAGCCAGATGCCCAGATTCCTTTCACAATTCTGTTCGGTTAATAGAAAACGCAAATTATTCGACGGACTTCAATTACTGTAATATTTTTTTGGCTTTATATGGGAACGATTGACCTCTGATTAAGTTTATTTTAATTTGGATTTATTACGCACCGGAACCGTACGTCCACCGTGGCCGTTGGCGAGAGGGCTGCCCATTAATGGTTTCGGTTTTTGGCAGTTCAGCTGGTTGCTCAAAATTAGGCTAAAAAAACACTCAACGGTTGCGTAAAAAGTAACAAGGACCGCACAAGACTGGTTATTTACATTGTATGTAAGCTTTTTTTCGGCGCGCAAAATTTTTTAGCTAAATGGCACAACGCCATTGAAAGTAAGCCTACACAAAAAATCAAATTCACTTACACCGAATTTTGGATCAGGCGTACGAGCTCCAGAATATGTCATCTCAATGTCAGAGCCTGAAAAACTACCCATCTGAGCAAAAACGCTATGCAGGATCATACATACAATTAGGCAATTAAAGAAAGCCGGCGAGTACATGGTGTATAAAGGGGCTGAATCTGTTGATAAAAAGCGAAGACGTTCAAGTAGAATGGTTGGTTAATGAATTTAAACCTGCGTTAAAAGTTGTCATATACCAACGGCGTCCACACTCATTCAAGTACCATATAAGGCGTTTTGCGCAGACTCTGCTAACAATTTGTAGAATCTTGGAAAAGGACTGCAAAAAAGTGCTGGTTATGAATTTCAGCAAATTGAAGAACCGGAAATACTTGAGCAGCTTGAGAATGGTACCGGCTATTCTGGCTAATGGGGCATTTGGATAACCTACTCCGGGAAATTTGCTGACCTAACAAGCCGAGACACTGAAACCTGCAGTCACAGTTCCACAAAACACTTGTGGCAGCATCCGTACGGCTAATTGCCGACGACGTATTGCTTCTTCAGCAGAATCAAACTTCCAAGCTGCGGAATCGGCCATAGCTATCTTGCCCTAACTGCCAAATTAAACAAATAGGAAAATTTCGGAAGCATTCTTCTTTAAACGAATGCAAAGTAGTTCGACATTTCTTAGCAACAAATCGCTTTTGCGAAAAATATAAAACATTCAAATAACTGTCACCAGCGCAACCGAATTCCCTAATAAAAGAAATACAAAATGACTCTGTAACAGTTTGACATAGTTTCACACAGTTTCCCCTGTCTGCGAAGTGCACAAGGTCGCATTAAGACATGGGTCTCGAAACGTGTTTGAGTGATTCTTTTCAACCTGCCCGGTTCTCCTGCAGACACGTTTCTCACGAAGAATTCAAAGTCAAACGTTTTAAAGGAACGCTCCGGCATGTGACGCAAGCGCAACCGCCCGGTTTGGCACTAAGCACTATGATTTGGCTAGCGTTTCAAATAAGCCGTAAAATCGTCGATGCTTAGATTTTCGATTTCGTCCGAAAAAGCGGCTCAGCTTTAGTTGAAAATAAAGAATAAATAACGGGAAACGTTTTGAGTGTGTCAGTACCGTTTTAAATCAAAGTTTTGTGCAGACTGCGAACCCGAAAGATTCTGCCTCCCGCGGCTCGGCGGCGGGCGCTCAGTAATAAAATGCAAAGCAGAGAGAACATGCAAAAAACCTAGGGTTAACATAGCAAAATTTCCCGGTAATTTTGTCGCTTTACACAGAAATGAGCAAATCGGAGATACCAAGCTCACATCCTACTGCGAGTTGAACAATGGATACTATTCAAAACCTACGTCACTGTACCACGTGACTAGACGTCTACATGTGGTATCTGCATAATATGGCCGTGGCGTGTAGGTTTCACTTTTGCATGATAGAATACTGCACTGTGATAGTATCATTTCTGATCGTCTTTTACTGATTTTTTGTTGTATTTCGTAAACGTTTGCTACCGATTTTTCTTACACACACAAGAACCCTGCTACCAGCAATGGATTCCGTACAATGCGGTACGAGACATTTTGATGATGGAGATGGAGATGAGATTCGAGAGACTGCTGCTGTATCTGCTGATGCGACTGTGGAAGAGCAAGAGCCTCCTAAAGTACCAAATATATTTCTGGTCAAGTTTGTTAATTAATTTTGGCAACATGTCACTAATTTTAATAGTACCATTATCTAACTTTTCCAGAGAAAAATGCGCTATGGATACGGTGCTATATGCAGTGTTGCGGGATGCAAGACACAGCAAGGAAATCCAATTTATTTTGGAGTAAAATTTCATCGTATTCCTTGCATTAAAGAAGACTCATCTGCATTTGAAAAAGAAAGGCGAGCCAAATGAATTCACTGTTGTCGACAGTTAAAAAATTGGACACCAACTAAGAATAATCGTATTTGTGGGATCCATTTCGTCAGCGAGGATTACGATAGCAAAAACGAGCTAAAGAAAACTGCCGTACCATCACCGTTTCAATGCTTGCCAAAAAATGTTCGGCCGCCGGAATCGGGCTTGAAGCGAAAATGCCCATCTACCCGAACAGCTGCCGCAGAGATGCTACTTCCTGGTTCAAAAGATATCTGGTCAATGACGGACATCTGTTGTTTGGAAAGTACTTTCGAGGAATATCGTCGGAAATTTCGGTTATTAGAAATCCAAGTCGGAGAGCCGGAAAATAAAGTTCAGGAGCATAGAACGACGATTATTCAGCTGAAGAACAAATTCACAACAACAACGAACAGTATGCCAAGGAGATCAAAGCTTGCAAGGAACAGCTTTTTGTAGTTCAATCGGAGAACAAAGCGTTTCAGAATACGATATCACAAGAGTGAGCAGCCACCACAGCTTAAATCCTCTCGTGAGAAGATACAGTTTCTCAGTTATCCGCCCTGAACGAAAAGCAGCTACTCATAGTGGAAAAATTCAAGGACTGTGGCAGCCAAATTTCTCACCTAACAGGAATACCTAATTACCCTGTGTTGTTTGAAATTTTATTCCAAACGATTTTGCATGGAAATGATCCAGAGTTTGTAAATTCGTCTGTCTATGGACCGAGTGCAAGCGGTGAACTCATGTCTGTAGATCGCTCAAAAGGAGGGAGCAGAGCTAATTTGGACCTGCTAAATCAGCTGTTTTTGACGTTATTTCGAATGCGCACGGGAATGACCGAAGTAGTTGTTGGATCTATTTTCTGCGTTAGCCAGCCATCAGTATCCCGTTATTATACTTGCTGGGTAAATATTACGTATCATTTTTTACGTGAGCTGCCGCATCCGTCTTGTCGTGCATCAACCATGGGAAACCGAGTGCCAGTGCGTACCGCACTAGATTATCCAAATTTGGTGTGCATTATTGATGCCTTTGAAATCGAAATCCAGAAACCGACTCATCCCGAAACGCAGCACTGTACATATAGCACGTACAAATGGCATAATACAATGAAATTTGTGGTCGGAATATCGCCATATGGCGCAGTTATTTTCATTTCGCATGGATATCATCACTGAATTTTTAATGTTGATCTTGTACGGCGCTCTGGACTAGCAAACCATCTGAAGCCAGGAGACACTGTTTTGGCCGATAGGGTCTTCCAGATGGTTGAAGAATTCGCTGCAAAAGGTGTCAACTGGATAGTCCCACCAAGTGTTTCAAACAGTCACATCTCTATGGACGAACAAACTGAAACCCGGACAGTTGCTCACAGTCGTATTCACGTCGAAAGAAAAATTACACAAATAAAAATGTTCAAAATTTTAAAAAGACCTGTTCCGATATCTGGGATTGTATTGTTTTCGAAAATTGTTCGAGTAGCTGCGTGGCTTACGAATTTTATGAATCCGATCTTAAAAGAAGTGAAGCCAACGCCCAAAATAACGCTTCAAGACATGGATGCGCCGGATGTTCTCGAAATTACTGAACAATTTTTATCTATTGATTATTCTGGTTGATGTTATTTCGGTAACGTGTTTTACATGTGTTTTATTTTAAATAAAATTGCTCTCCTAGACTCTCCACATTAACATTAGCTA